TCAGTGGCCAAAACTTAGTGAAGACTCCCTTTCACCTTTCTTTATGGCCCCATTTTTGTTGGTTGATGAATCATTTCTCCCCCATGAAAAAGTAGTGTCATGGGTGCTACTGCAAATGGCAGCCGATGCTTGTCCCAGGATTGAGGAGAGCAGAGAATAGGGGGCTATGGGCCCCTTCACAACAAACAATGGCTTCTCAGATACATTCTCATTTGTGCTGCAGTAGTTGTGCAGGCTCGATGTACTACCTACTCATAGAATTCTAGCAAAGCATATTAATATAAAATATAAAATTGTTGGTTTGGGTTTTGTGTTTGCTTTTTGGTTAGGTTTGGTTTTAGCAGGGGTCAGGATGGACGCTGTTATTTTTCATGTTGGCTTCAAGCATCTTTAAACTCTCCAGGCTGAACAAAGTATGCCTATAGGTTAACCACATCCTGAAGTCCACCAGGGTGAGCTCTCTGGACTCTAGGTGGTTCAGAACAGGTATCACTCTCAATTCCTGGAAGCTTTAAGATAATTACACCCATCTGAAAACATGGAATGAGAACCCCACAGACAGAGAAATGCCAGGTAAACCCAAGAAGAGATTTTTTTTCCAGAACTGAGAATTCCAAATGGAAAACAAATAAAATAAAAACTAACCAAAGCAAACAAATGAAACATACAGCAAGAGCTCAGGGGGTGATTCAGCTGACAATGCACTCAGTTTGCAAGCACAAGGAGTTCCAGCCCCACCAATCATGCTTCAAAGTCAGGCATGACAGTACACACCTTTAGTCCCCATGGAAGCAGACACAAAATGATCCCTGGGGTTCAGCAGGCCAGCAGGAGACTGTCTCTCAAAGGAGTCGGACAGTGCCCCTGAGAATGGTCCTTAAGATGCCCTCAGGTGTCCACACCCACAGGCCCACACACACCATGTGAAGTGGAATCTCCCAGACTCACAGACACAATTGCCCTGAAAGTACTCAGTTACTCCTAAAAAGAATCAACACCTGGAACCCTGGATATTCGCAAACATAGTCTCTACCATTGCACAGACAAAAAACCACACGGAGTGCTCTGCCAGCGCTGCGGTCAGCAGCTAAGCGCTGCCATTCACCCAGTTCACGGAAGAGCAAACCAAGGCAGGGAGAGTACAGAGCCTGGGGTACCATAGGTAGAGTGACATTCATAGCTGTGCCTATGTTGGGGTACAGGCTCAGACAGAGCAGTGACTAGAAAGGTCTGGGGTCTAGTTAGAAACAGATACAGAAAGGTGAGTGTTGGGATATATTTAAAAATACGTCATGCATACAACAGACCTGGTATGAAAGATATTTATTAGATGGAGATGGAGAGAGTGAGGGAAGGAGAGACAGAGACAGACAGATAGACAGACAGACATAGGGGACACCCCAAAAGAGAGAGGTGAGAGAGTAGAGATGAAAACAAGAGAGGCAGAGAGGGGATGGCAGACCAGCCATTAAGTACCTGGCCCAGGTGATGTCATAGGATGCAGGTACTGACATAGGACATTCGTTTAAGACCCTAAAGGTCCCTAAGGACAGGCCAGTTGAATTGCCTGCATAGCATAACAGTGAGCTGCTTAGCTTTTCTGGTTTACTTTTGCCATTTAGCATCACACACACACACACACACACACACACACACACACACACACACACTTTCAAATTTAAATAAAAAGCCTATTCCAAAGTCAGCTGAATGGGAGCGGTTATTGATTATTCACTGTCTTTGACTGGTTGCCTTTAGCTCAGAAATAACAGAGAAACTGACAAAGTGCTGGCCTATCAGTGGCAGCTACTACACGGTTTCCTGTCTCACTCTTGATATCCCACCGGTTTTCACAGGTTCCCTCTCTTCCTAGAAATGGGGTTGTTGGACGTATCCCACAGGCCACTTAAGGCTCCCCTTAGCTCAGTGCTGTGCCTGGCGATGCTCTTTCCCACCCTGCCCCCTCCCTTGCCACAGCTGCAGGCCCCTGGTCCTGGACTTTACACAACTTTAGCCTGCTTTATTTTTTAATTGTTGACCCCCAAAGCCTCCTGTTTGCATCTGTTTATTAAATTGCAAGCTCAGCTGTGAAATGCCCTTTATGGTGTCGTTTTATTGGTTGGCCATTCAGGAACCCACCGCCACACAAACAGGATAAATATTTTTCTTTGCAGCACATACCCCACATCGGGGGCCACAGAACAAGGGGAGACAGGAGTTTGTTTATGAGCTCTTCATTCATTCCTTGGAGAGGAACTGTGAAATGTAACCCTCACATTCCGGTGGACAATCACCCCCGCCAGCTTGAGCTCATTTGGAGGTGTGATGTTCCACTCAAAGGGCGGCTGTTAATTTTATTGACCAAATTTGGAAAGCAGGGCGCTCCATAATGAAATGGGGACTCTGGAAGAACAATGGCCATTTCGGGCTCCGGAGAGTGGTGGCACCTTTGGCTTTGGGCTTTTGTTTGTTTGTTTGTATGGTTTTGTTTGTATTTTTGTTTTGTTTTTGTTTCACCCCCCCCCCAGAGGAAACTTCAAACCCCAGTGCTAGTTTCAAAAGATGTGATATCAAGATATGTTTGTCAGTGCTCATCATCACAGCATTTTTAAAAAATATTTTATTTATTCTTTGTGAATTGGTGTTCTGCATGCATGTACGTCAATGTGAAGGTATCAGATTCCCTCAAACCCTCAAAGTAGGGTTACAGACAGTGGTGAGCTGCCACATGGAGGCTGGGAATTGAACCCGGGTCCTCTGGGAGAGCTGCCATCTTAACCATCTCTTTAGCCCTCTATCACAGCCTTTATAAAGCATGCAGCTCCTGCTTCAAATCCATCCCATCCAGTAATCCTGCCGTTTCTCCTGCCCACATTAAAACCAGTGTGGGCCAGTGTAGTTCCCCAAAGTGGGTTTCCCTGTCTCCAGGGCCCAGGATGCTCAAGCATCCCGGCCTGCCTCTCTCCGCCTTTGCATTTTTGTATAGTATAAAGTTATCATCGGGAGCTTGGCTACAACTGAAGTTTTCAGTGGTTTTCAGCAGATTCTCCTTGCTTTGTTCATGCACGGAGCAAGAAGAAATGAAAGGGCTAAAAAGCTGCCTTGTCCTTCCATCTCTAATCCCCCTACTGACCAGACATGGTGTCCTCAAAAAATAAAAAAATAAAAAGCCTTTAACTTCCAAAGAATTGAAAGACAACCCCTCACCTCCTCACACACACACAACCCCATCCTCTCTGTGCCTCAAACCCGGGGCAGATTCACACCAATACGAGTTGGCACAGCATATTGGTAACTTAGCGGGGGTGTTTGCCCAATGCTAACCTTGGGCTGGACCACAGAATGAGTGGGCCCTGTCAATATTTGGACTCTGAGGAGGCCAGTTTATAACTGTTGAGACTTGTCTCTGGGTTGTGCTTTGAACCCCGCCTTTGCCATGTTGCTCCCAAGACTCCTTCTTCGCTTGCTTTTGGAAAGGCTACTTTGGGATAGTTCCCTTAGAAGGGTGGCTGGGGGGCTGTGGGGAATGAGGGGGGACAAGTTCAGAATATCCCAATGTGATATGGAAAAAAAGAAATGTAACCCAAGTGGCGAAAACTCCACCATGGAGCAATGTTATTGTTGGCTGAATGGTAGAGACCATCTGGGTCTCCTAGAATGATGGGGGTGGGGACCAGGGGAGTGTAGGGGGGAGGGGAGAATCTGCAGTGTACAGATGCTTCTATTGTTGGTGGTGTGAGCTTGTAAATAGTTAAAATATTTACCAAGGCACCTCCGAGCCGGAGCTATCCCATTTTATTATTTATACCTTTTCAGAGGGACAAAAATGGAGATGTCCACTAAACGTGATGGATTAGGCTTATAAACAGCCATTATGGCCGTCAAACCTCACATGTCAGCTCCTCCTTTGTGTCCGTGCATTTCTAAGCTAACCAGTGATCCATGCATAAGATCGAAGGTTAAGAATGCGGAGGAAAGGAGTGTAGCTGGCGAGCAGGATGCATCTTCTGCTGATTAGAAACACAGCCAGAGAAAGTGGGGAAGATGCCTGGCAAAAGGCGAAAAACGGGCGTGTGTGTGCCTGTGTGTGTGTGTGTGTGTGTGTGTGTGTGTGTGTGTGTACACGAAGAGGAGACAGAATCTGGGGGTTGTACAAACCCCTGCAATCTGACACGCTGCTTTCGTTCTCACAGTCTTGGCTGAAAACCTGCCAGGCCTCTACCTGCCAGCACCCTCAGCTGTTTCCTTAGTGACTGCAGCTGCCTTTTGTTTTCTCAAGATAAAAATCAGGAAATGCAAAAATTAAATAGGATTTGAGAAGAAAAAGGATGGGCCCCTGGGCCAGAGGGAGAAGGGTGAGCCAGCAGGTACCAAGAGTTGTTGACAGAGAAAGATGTCATCTTTTGGTGCTTAAGTTAAAAAAGAAAAGAAAAGAAAAACAGAAAAAAATAAAGAGAAAAACGGAAAGGAAACCCTTAAAATGGTGTCAATGAAGAGGCATCTTACAGTGCAGGTGATGTCGTGCCATCCCTAGACACCAAACTGCCAGAAAAGTTATGTTGAAGCAAGAATATATGATCATGACAAAAAGTTCGTTATGATTCCTAGGAATGGTCATTCTCAAACCAGCTAACGGACAGAAGGTAAATGCAAATTGTGTTATTGTTGGCCCTTTGTTGCTGCAGTTAGGGCAGTTCCTGTGGAAAAAGTGGCTTCCATCCTGCTCTTTACCCTGAAGTTCCAGCTCCTTTACTGTGTTGGTCACTGAATTCCTGCCGTGTACAGACTCCAGCCTGTAGCCCCTCCGTCCCTTGTTCTTTAAAGGGAAGCTACACAATTAAGAGGCCCAGGGTTTTAGGAGACAGTCGGGCTCAGCGAGGCTGAAATCTCCTCCAACAGCTCTAACCATACACTGAAATTTTAATTTTAGCGAAACTGTTGCATAGCTGTCTTCTCTAGAGATCTCGGGAAGAAATTATGACCTCACTTATTTGTTTATTTATGCTGTTACTTATTTATTGTGGGTGCTCCGATGAGAACTTAGTCCTGTAACAAGTGGCAGATTTATTTCCCTATATCCCTCTGTAGTTCCTGTAAATGAGAGAGAAGAAAGCATTCAAATACCCACACAGACTTCGTTTTCAGGTGTGCTTCCTAGCTACCCTTCTACCCAAGCCCAGCCTCCCCGGCTCGTCGGGCACTTCAGCCACCTCCTAGGTGATGTCTCCTCTGTGTCCTCTACAGACTGTCTGCCACATTAGTATGCTGGCACATCTGCTGGTTTGCTTCTGTAAATACTAGGATCTGAATCACACCACTCTGGTGGCCAGTGATGAACCATTCTTTCTAAAAAAGAAAAAGAAACAGAAACTCTCTCTCTCTCTCTCTCTCTCTCTCTCTCTCTCTCTCTCACACACACACACACACACACACACACACACACACACACACACACGCATGCTAAACAGGTTTCTCACTAGATCTATTTCTGTGGTGTCTCAGCCAGCAGGTATGATCTGGCTCAGTTGGAAACATCGTTGATAAAGGGTACACCCTTTGTGAACCTCCTAAGACAGCAATCCTTGCCGCATCATGGTCACTGATTACTACATAATTAGGCATAGCAACTAATTCTTGCCAGTGGACTCTCAAATATGATCACAAAAGTCTAGGCGGGCTCTGCACATAATTCCTTTGGTGAGTTCTACAACACAACCACAGCCCTGAATTTGGGCCCTCCCCCATGGGCTCTCCCCTATGTAGGGAGGTATTAGAACTTCCGGTAGTTTGAAAGTTAACAACAGAAAAGGAACACACGGAGCTTCAGTGAGTGACACCAAACAGTCTGGCCGTCTAGCTAGATAGTGTCTGTTCTCCTGCACAGAAGGTGCATGCTGTCTGCTCACATTCCACGCCCCAGTGCGGCCCCAACAGACTTCGCTACCTGGATGGCTCCTGTTATTGCCACTTTCTTGCCTCTGTCTCCCTCTCTGTCTCTATCTTCCCCTTCCTCTTCCTCTTCCTCTCCCTCTCCCTCTCCATCTCTATGCCTCATACTACATTGAAGTCTTAGAAACCCACAGAGCCTCCCAGAAGGCTTATCCCATTCTCTTGCCCAGTCATGGTCAGCTATGCTGCAAAGGGCTCCTTCACTGACTTTATGAGAAACAGGGCTTCTTGACTTTCTGCTGAAACCCCAATGTCTTTTACCTGCTTTGAGCTTCTGAGCCTCTCTTCCCACAAGTAGAGCCAGCCCTGGGGGGGGGGGGGCAGCTGTCCTCTTCTGCTCCAGGAATGCATGGCATGGCAGCTAAGCAGTCAGTAGAGAAGGAAACACCTAGGTTAGATTGCGGATTCAGCAAATAAAAATACTGGGTGCCTAACTGAATTTCAAGTTCAGATAACCAGCAAATACATTTTAATGTAAGTTTGTCTCCAAGCCCAGTTTGAGTACACTTCTCTTTTTCTGCTAAGAGGGCAGTGGTCTGGTACAGCTTATAAGGAGAGTGCTGAGTGGAATCACCGGTTGCCAGGATGCTCAATAAATCAAAGGAATTCTCTGAGGGCGGTCCCATGTGGGCCAAGAAGGCAGAGAGAACATCACAGGCTGTCACCAAAGTAAACATAACAGCCAGCCTCTGGACTAACTCACAGTAACCTGTCAAGGTAGAATTTACATCATCCCCATTTTACAGATGAGACAACTGAGGAAGAATGCAGAGTATATAGCACATAGCAACCACGTAGCTATGAAATAGACAGCATCTTTCTCATCTGACCTAGAGCATCTGTCTATGCAAGTTAGAGCCCCAGAGCATGCTTAGTTGGAACAGTGAGGATTCCAGTGCTGGAAGCATGGTGAGTAGCAATATGCCTGAAACCAAGAGGAAAATGGAACAATGCACCCAATTGAGAGCTTTCCTTATGCCATGACAGCTCTGCACAGACAGGGACAGAGAGCAATGGAGACTGTTGAGAACACAGGCCCAGATGAGGAACTCTGGCAAAAGAGAGAGAGAAACACATTTTCTGATTTAAAGACCACCCAGGTGTGTGCTGGCCTGTCCCCATTTTAGGGTCTTAGCTTCTTACTTCTCAGTAAGAAAAGAAACAGATGTGGTCCTCATTCATCCATAATGGAGGCAGCGGGGAGGGGGGCTTGTGTGGTGGGCAAGCGCCAAGCTGTCTTTGGCCCACAGTCTGTCTTCAAAGACAGAGACATTAACTTTCCCAGTGTTGAAGCCATTGTTAGCTGCCCACTCAAAGCCCAAAACCTAGGAGGCAACTAACACATGCACTTCCAGTAGCAGAGGCATTAAATAACGCACAGCAGTCTTGGTGGGATAGGTAGTAGTGTCATCCTGCCTGGCCTTGGGATTCTGGAGTCACCTCAGATGAGTGACACTTCACTGGAATCATCAGCGGATAGATGGGGGTGGCAGGCTTGCTTCCCTCCCTCACCCTTTCCTTCCCACCCCCCATACCCGGGTCACGCCAGCCTATTCTGAACAAATATCTCCAAAGTTTGGGGGGTAGGGATGGGAAAGCGAAGCCCTGTTCAACAAATCCTTTACTTTTTTTTCCCCTTCTAGGAGCTGCAGACCGTGGTCTCCTGCTTATTCAGCCTTCCCCTCCCAACCCAGGCCTGGAAATCTCTGTGGTTATGAGTCAATGATCAGACAGGAGAAGGGCACGCTTACTATAGGGGAGGAGGATTCAGCAGGGCTCTGGGCTTTGATGCTGCTTCTATTACATCCTGAATACATGAAAGAATATGGGAGGGAGAGGAAGAAATATAAAAGGGCAAAGGAAGAAAATGTTATTTTTCTTTAAAAAAAAAAGAAGAAGAAGAAAGAAGAAAGAAAAAAAGTTGAAGGGGGAGGGAAAGGGGTTGGGGAAGGAGAAATGTCTGTTTTGAAATATCCCTAGTAACAACCTCACATATCTTTGGGAGACAAAAGCTGGTTACAAACTGAGTTAAGGCAGCTCCTTCCAGGCCTCATCTTCCCAGGAAATAATGGCAGAGAGGCGTGTTTGGTGGGGGATGATGCTCAAATAGCAATGTCCGTGAAGCTGGGGTTAATTACAGGAAGGACTTCCAGGGTAATTGCCCAAAAACAACACAGGGAGCCAAGTCTAACTTCGCAGGCCCCAATTCAGTTCTGTGCCACTTCAGAAGGACCCCAGACACTGGTCCGCTGGGGGGATGGGAAGCGCCCAGGGAGGGTCTTCCCAAAAAGCCGGTGCTCTGCACCCTATCCACCTCAGTCCAGTGTGGTTCCTTCTGTTCAGCCTCTGAATATTTACCTGTGAAAAAACCACAGATGACTTGCTGCTTGCCACATACAGAAATTATTAGTTTCATCCCCAAGATAGACCTACACACCAACAACCCCCCCCCCAAATCAGCTCATCAGTTAAGTAAAGTCTGGCTGGGGAGGAGCCAGGTGGGTGTTTCTAAAGTTTCTTCAGGGTGTGGGTTTCGCCCAGATCCTCTGAGAGTGCTTTGTCTCTATTCCACACCCCCTTTAAGAGAGTAGAGCATGCATTATAACCATATGGCAAGTACCACTTCAGATAATTAAGCCCAGAGACCTACCACATTCTGCAAGGGGGAGAAAGGGCTGGCAACCGGGACAGGACACCTGAGCTAGTAGGAACTGGCAAGCACTTAGAGATGTTCATAAAGACCTCCATCCATTAAGGAGCGTCCACTTGGCCATACCCTGTGTCATTCCTACCACAGATGAACTCATAAAATTTCAGAGGCTGGGGCTGGGGACATGGCTCTGTGGTTGGTACCATTTGCTGCTGTTCAAGACTGACAGAGTTAGACTCCCTCAAGGGAGTTCAGTTTCTACGACTCACATCCAGCAACCCACAATCTCCTGTAACTACTACTCTAAGAGATCCAGCAAGCTCTTCTGGCCTCTGAAAGTATGTACACATATGTGGCATACACACAGAGAGACCATAAAAAGTGGCAATAAAAATAAAATCTCTTAATTTCTTTTTTCGGAGAATGGCAGTGCACACCTGAATCTGTGCATTCGAGAAGCTGAGTTTGGAAGATGGGAAGTTTGGGGTCACCCTGGGAAACACAGAGAGACCTTGTCTTGGAAAACAAATGAAACTTTCAGAGAACACTGGGAGCCCTTTCTGTTCTTCCTGGAAGGACCAGGGTGAAAAGTTTTTTCCAGGCCTCTGCAGGGATCTTTTGATGGCTGTCGAGATGGGTCGGAGAGGATAACCAGAGATCGTACTGCTAACCTCAGAAACTCTGGCTAGCCATTAGACCTCACTACTTTTTCTTGGGATGCTGGCAGGCCATGCATCGTGGGCAGAAGATGCACAGAAATGACTGGGTGATGGTTTAAGCTCCCAACCTTTCATGCTAGGCTCAGTTTTACCACTTAGGAAGCAAGAAAGTAAAGTAGCCGATGCCCCTCTGTGGTCCCACACGTGACTCTCTGAAACCTGGGAGCTCCTCACACAAGTTATCCGAACTTGAGGGCAGGGACCGTATTTCATCAGTTCTTTTCCATCTCAAATAACACCTTCTACCATAGTGCGAAGTTAATAAATAAATATTTTGAATGGATTCATTCAGGCATGATTGAACAACCTTTATGTCTCTTTCTTCAATTGTTTATAATAAAAGATTTGTGGATGGGTACTGGAGAAATGCCCCTTTTTCTTTAAATCCCATAGGCTTGCTTCCAAAGATGAAATAGGAATCAATCGTTGTAATAACTAACATTTATTTTGCACAAACACATTACGTACTGATCTCAATTATGTCTCAATGCATCCCTGTAGAGAAGCAGCCATTCTGATTCTCATGCCACAGGTGAGGAAAGACAAAAGAATCCGAGAGATGAGCTGTGCAGTGGGAAGACTGTGAAACCAGGCTTAGACCGTCTGACTCAGAACTATGAGCTGAAGCATGCTCCTGGAATGCATCAAGGGTCTTGCTGTGACCATGGCAACTGGCAGGCAGAGTGTTCTTGGTCAAGTCATTGTCTCTAACTGGGTCAAAAGGCATCCCTCCTAGCTACATGACAGTGGCATCCCCTTTACCCAGAGACTGACATCTCAGGTTTCTGAGTGCATACTTTAGGTCTCAGATCCAGCAGCCCCTCCTTCTGAAACCCTTCAGCCACCAGTACCACCCAGTGCTAAGAAAGACAGGACTTCCTGTACAGACTGTGCATTTCACTGTGGTGACTGGACCAGTGGCTCTTTCTGCTAAAGCTGTGAACTCCCTAGTAGCAATGAACGTATTTACCTTATTCATCATTGTATCATAACTGCCAGACTAGTACATAGAGTTATCACACTCAAATGTACTTAGCAAACATCAGTAGAGGCCCCACCTTCTAAAAAATGTGAAGATGTTGGACAACCAGCCTTCTTGCTGTGAAAGCACCTGAGTGCAGTCAACTAAAAGTGGCCAGAGCCTTAGATGAGGACTTTGACAGCTCAAAACAAGGTGAAACCAAGGCACATTGTCCACAGTTTGCATAAGTTAAAATGATCGATCCCGGCCTGCCAGAGACTGGGTGATTCTAGACATTCACCCAGGGAAGACAGCAGGAAGAGCTGCTCTCTACCCACCCTCTTCCTCACGGGGTCTCAGATGCAGGTAGGCTTCGGAAGGGTCTGGGATCAAAACGCTGCCGGCTTGGGAACTGAGCAACTAAAGCCTGTCTGGAGAGTAAGGGAATAGCCGCTTGAGATGCACACAAGTCCCCAGAAACAGATCATAGCAACAAGCATGCCCTGGGGAGGAGGCGCCTTTCTGCTTGTACACAAGAGCAATAGCAGAGGCACAATGCAGAAGCCCCCCTCCCAGCTGGTTGAGCACACTCCATTCAGTTGGCTGGAATGACTGTCTCCCTTTCAAGTGGGCTGGCTCATCCCCCCCACCACCACCTCCTCCTCCTTGCTTAGTGCTTTAGTCACATACCAGACACATCTCACAGAGCAGACCCAAAACTCCAGGTGGCAGAACCCCAGTTTCATATAAATTAGGCTGAGGAACACTGAGTAGACACATTTTTTGTTTAAATCATGCAGAAAGAGAACTTTCTCAGGGGCATAAATCTGGCCCAAATCTACCCATGAAGATACAATTGAGTGTATAGTGTATAGTGAAAACATAAAATTATCTAGAAGTCTGTTGCTTCCAAAGAGCAAGGCCAACTTTTTATCTAACCAGAAAGAAATGACATCACACACACACACACACACACACACACACACACACACACACACAAAAGATGCAAAAGTTGCAGCATTGCAAAAGGACCAGATGCATGGCCTGATTCATTATAAAAACACAGTATGCCCAGCAGACAGACACAGGCATCTCCCGGCAACACATCAACTCATTCATCCCAATGGCAGCAGAGTCTCCGTGTACACAGGGCACTGGAGTTTGCACAGTTAGCCTCTCTAAGGGAGGTCTCTGTTCTCTTTTCCAGAGTGTAAAGTAAGAGAAGGAAATGAGGGAAGAAAATTGATGGCATTGAAGAACAAAGAACAAAGTAGGGAGGGAGAAAAAGCTAGCTAACACAGTTCATGGAGAATCCCTCTAAACACACCCTTTGAATACGGCACATTGTACGTTATAATATACAAACTGCTTTCCTAGGATCAATAAAAGACTTGTAATTTCTTCACTTATCTAGATCCTGTCCCACTTGTAGTCAGGAGGCAATATGACAACTTTAATGTTCTGATTGTCACTGCTCTAACAAATTTCTACTGGCATTTAAGAGTGTGAGAACCCACACTTATGGACAGTCGCCACCAACCAATCCCACCATTCTACAGGATGGCTTTGGTAACTTAAAATGTCTGGGGGAGGGCAAGTGGAGATACCAATAGCTTTTCATGCATACTGTTTAAATTCCATGGCAGTTTGCCATCAAGCTCATGTTATTCAACTCACAGTGACTTCAAGGACTGCAGAACAACAATCCAAGGGCCTCATTTCTCAAAATATATGTCATCAGTAAGAAAGGGGGAAATGTTTCCTTAGATAGATAGAAAAGAAAATGGCACTGTGTTCCTCAACCCTAATGTGTGCCAGAAGGTTCATATGCTGATAAGTTTTTTTTTTTTTCATGTATCATGTTCCTGATTTTTATTCAGTGACAGTTGAAAATTGGACAGTTAGGTGTAAAATGAAAACACTAGGGGTAAAGAATTAAAGAGGAGAGTTAATGAGAATTGAACAAGGAAGCAGTATCTTCAATTGAATATAGACAAGCAGAAAGTCACTTGCTGGTACTGTGCTGACACTGGTCTCCTGTGACCATGACATGGCAGTTTCTTGGGTCCAGCCATCTCACAAACAAGTCTCATCTTGTTAGCAGGGTCAAAACTGAGTTCATAGTTCCAAGCTCCAGAACCCAACTCCTATCCTGCTTCTTCAGTGTATTCATGTTTGTCTGTTAACCAGAAAAGAATATAAAGAGGGAAGTTGCCATTCTAAGCTAAGGCACACAGGTTGGAAATGTGCTGCCTGTCTTGATGTAAAGCTTGCCCACTCCTTTGTTCCCCTATCACTCTAAATTACAGGTCAAAGTCCAAGAAAGGGCATGACTGCAAAGAGCTGAGTCAAGTGTTCTGAAACCAAGTGACCGGGAAAGACCCACTCACTCATACTTACTTTCTTGCTCAACCCCTTGTGCCAAAATATGATTGGTCAATGCAAGAGCCCACTCCCATTCCCATCCTTTAAAAATGTCGTACAATCTCCTTTTGGTAAAGATGTTCAGATCTTTACCAAATTGGCAGCCTCCCTGTGTTCTTAAAAAATAAAGCTTGTATTTTAAAGCTTCTGTCTCTGAAGTGAATTTTCTTGGCTTCCACCCTGAAACCAACAATGACGATGGGAATGAGAAGTGTTTGAGTCACTATGGCAATGCCATACAAAGTCTCAGATTCCAGCCAATTTCCTTCAGGACATCATGTTTTGGGTAGGCTTCTAAGACTTGCCATAGCACCACCATGCTTTTTGTTGGGATCATCCCTACTAAGCAACAGAGCTCCACACTTCCCATCTTCCTGACAGCAGCCTTCAAAGTGGAATCTACACTCCCACTATAAGATCAGCTCCTGCCCTTCCTCTAGCAAATGCCTACTCAGCCTCACAGCTTGAGAATCCGGTTTTCTTGGTCACTGAGCTCTTTTGTGCACTTTGAAATGAATCACACTTACGGTGACAGCTGAGATTGTAGTCACAATTCCCAGACCTCACCTGGGAGATAGAGAGTTCATATTTGTCTCATTTGAGCCTGCGTTTTTAAAATGAGTACATTTCATATGAAAATGTGTACTGCCAGTACTTTTAAGCACCTAAAGATCCACACCAGCTAGACTCTGGTCTTATGGTGTTTGATTGTCTCTCCGTCCTTTTTGGGAGAGATGATACTGTAAAAGAAGCCCCCTAATCCTCCTCCCAACAGTGTTTTAAAGAAAACATGTCAGCCTGGCTAGGGTCAAGAGACAGCACAGCAAGAAGGAAAGCTATTTAGAGGACTAAAACACCCACGTACCTTTGTTTTGATTGAAACTGAAGCAAAGGGACTAAGATTCTCCCAAAGGCCTCTCCTATGGCGAGGTTCCTCAGCGTGACATACAGATAACCTTTCTAACGTATGTTCTTCATTCCACACCAACATGTGTATGCCATCTCAGAGCATCCCAGAGCTCTTCAGGTCACTGTTGAGCCACTTGTAGAAATGTCCAAGATGGGACACTCTTTTTCAAGCCAAAGGGTCACTTCAAAAATCAGCTGTGAAACCAAGAATGCCTGCTAGCACCACCACTGTTCACCTGCCAAGGGACCTTAGAAAACCCCTGAGCCCTTTCTCAGTTTATGAATAAGTATAATGAAGGTGACAGCAACAACAATCAGTAACCCTTCTATGGTTTTCTGAACATGAAATGAGAACACGCAGGTGAAGGAACTGCATAAATGTTCAATGTTAGGCAGCTTCAGTTACTCTGCTGATTATGGTAAGCAGTGGCTCCACTCTAGGTGCTATGTTTGGCTTGACAGACAAATTATCACTTGATGATTAAAACGACCCTGTGAGTCAGGCACCCATCCCATAGCCATTTAACACATATGGAAAATCAAAATAGAGAGAGAATGAAAAATTTGTCCACAACTGTCTTTGGTTATGAGGTCAGGCCAACTATGAATCAAGTTGTGCTTAATATTTTAATCATGTCATAGTTTTGGTTTTGGGCAGGAGACTTTTGGGTTTGGGTTTGAGTTTGGTTTTAAGTCTGAGTCTTCTTCCAGGCTAGCCTGAAACTCATGGAGATCTTTTTACCTCTGCTCTTTGAGAATTTGGGATTAAAGGTGTGAGCTATTATGGCCAGCAACATCATAGTTCTTTAAAGAACAATCACACAGTAGTTGTAGTAGCAGAAGAAAGCATTATTCGTATTGAGTTATTCTGTGATGTGATGAAAATCCTGTGGTGAGCACAACATGTGTTTTCAGTCTTTTAACTATGGTTATGAGCTAGAAAAGTTTAACTTTTTATTTTTTGTTGTTGGTTGCCTGGGCGTGGTGAAATGTCACAGGTTATATTATTCCAGAGGGCTGAAAATCAGTTTACTTAGTAGGCTTAAGGACGTGACTACTCTATGATTTCAATCTCTACTGACTTCCAATTGGTGTTTGTGATTAGTCTACAGAGATCAATAGACATCAATCAATGTCTATGGGGAAAAGTACATGAAAGAATGAAGGAATGAAAACTCTTTGCTGGGAAGTGCTGGACATAAAATTTGAATAAACCACCTTCTCTTATACTGGGCTCTGGAGGTGTGGAATGATGGGCACCTGGACTATCAATCCAGTCTTTGAACCTTTGAAAAGGATCAACCAGTGAGGAGCTGCCTTTCAAGTTTCTAGACTCTCTTGGGGTTTTTTTTTTTTGTTTGTTGGTTGTTTTTTTGTTTGTTTGTTTGTTTATTTGTTTGTTTCTTTTTTGTCAACTTGACACAAGTAAGGGTCATCTTAGAAAAGGGTACCTCAGTTGAGAAATTGCCTCCAAAAGATTGGCCCATAGAAAAGTTTGTGGGGCATTTTCTTGATTAATTATTGACATGAGAGGGCCCAGTACCTTGTCATACCATACAGATTGCACAAGTGCACAGTGGTATAAAATATGTCCTTACCTTTGTATGCCTTTGTTCTAGTTTGCATTCTATTGATGACCTTTGTATGCCTTTGTTCTAGTTTGCATTCTATTGATGTGATAAAGACTATGACCTAAAGCAATTTAGGGAGGAAAGAGTTTATTTCTGCTACACTCCTCGGTAACAGGCAGAAATTGAAGCAGAGACCATGGAGAAACATTCCTTATTAACATGTTCCCTATGGTTTTCTCAGCCTGTTTTCTTATAGAACCCAGGTAACTCTGGCTACATTAAGCTAAGTCCTCTCATATCAACCATTAATGAAGAAAATGTCTTGAAGACTTGCCTATAACCAAATCTTACAGAGATGTTTTCTCAACTGAAGTTCTGTTTTTCTTCAAGATGACCTTAGCTTATGTTCAGTTCACACACAAAAAAAAAATCATAACCAGCACAACTGACTCCTTGCTAAACACACACACACCACAAACACATACACACAACAACACATCACTGTTAAACCATAACCTTTCCTTTCTTGATTATCTCCAATATCATATGTTACTATCAATACCACAATAAAAAAAAATCCAAATTTTGAAAGGCCCAAGGCTTTTTAAAAGTTCAGTCTCTTTAAAATATCCAAAGTCTCTCTAAACATCCAGTCTCTTAACTGTGGGTTCCTGTAAAACAAAACAAAACCACATATTTTTTATTCCAAGAGGGAAGAATCAAGGCACAATCACAATCAAATAAAAGCAAAAGCAAATTTCAACAGTGTAAAAAACTTACTGCCAGACATCTGGGAGTCACTGACTATATTCTGGTTCCAAAGACCTTGGCTAGCTCTGCTTCTTTGCTCTGCCAACAGGTATATTCATAGGCTCAGGCTATCTATATTCTATAGCTGCTCCTGCCATTGGTAGTTGTCCTATGGTACTGGAACCTCTACTGTCCTGGATCTCTAGGCCATTGGGATGCACCTTCACCAGTAGCCTCTCCTAGGGTTGGCACTGCCCACAAGGTACTGGGCCCTCTCATGTCAATAATTAATCAAGAAAATGCCAGAAAGAATAGATTTGCCATTGATTGCACCCTCAATGGCAAATCTATTCTTTCTGGCTTCTCCATTTGACAGGGCTTCAGAACCTAACACTATTTTTTTTCCTGTAAATTAGAATTTTCAAAGGTGCTTTTTGCATTGTCCCATTTAAGAGAATTTTGTGAATAATTTTCCATGTGGATAGGGAGTTCTATCTAATAAAACAACTTAGTCCATTATTCAAAAAATATTTAATTCAGAACTTGAAACATTTCATGCAGAATCTGGATGAAATTTATTATTTAATTAAAAAAAACTAATAAACCTATCACTACTATAAATGAGCCCACAAGAGGGGCATTGAAGGTCCCTTAAAAGACCAAACTATTTTCAAGCAATTTAGAGACACCCTGTCATTAGGTTGGTGTGCTAATTACAAATCATTCTAATTGATTCAATAGTCTCCTAGGACTTTCATAATGTACTAAGCAGACACTTTATTAGCCAAACTCAGTTACTATAGGTTCTTAAAGGAAAACAAAAACTTAAGTAGCTGTCCCAAAGACAATACTAAGTTAGAATTCTCACAAGTGCAGAAGGATCTTGTCTAAGTCCCCTTCTGGGTGAGTGTTCATTTCAATATTTTGACTTCTTAATTTAGTGAGTGTTAATATGAGACAGAGAAGAGAAAATAGTCTCGATTTCTTTCTCTACATCCATCTTGTCTGTATTTGTAGAAAACATCCATAGTTCATTCCTAACCAGGATCAGTTTCCCCTTTGACTGTTACAATCCTAATCTCCCCTGTCTTTGGGTACCACTATGTCCTTACTGCCTGTCCACTCTGCTGAATACAAGACAAGTAGTCAGCATGCTATACAATGATGGATGGAGAGGGGAGGGAGAGTGCACACGTCTCAAAATAAGCCAATAAGAGAATGTGATAGGTGAACATGAGTGTTGTCCAGCTGGTAGGATGTAAGTTGGGAGTTATGATATGGGAGAGGGAACATGACTGTACTGTCGAAGTACAGTCAGCACAGAAAGTGATGCTAAGGAGGAAGGATTTCCAGTGCTATCACCCAAAGCTGTGGATTACATCAGACCCGAAGTCATTTACATGCCTGGGGTTCCATTCCACTCCTATTGGTCACGATAGACCTCTTTTTAAATAGTTTTTCTTGGCCATCTTACATTATATTTCTTTTGAAAAAATTTAAATTTCTATTCACTTAAGGAATCATTTCTTCAATATTAAAAATGGTTATCCATGTAGAAATGTTTGTGCCTATGTGTGCTGTTGTTGTTTTGAGGTCAGGGCTTGCTATATTTCCCTGTCTGCTCTTAAACTTGTGGGCTCCAGTGATGACCTCCAGAGTGCTATGATCACAAACAGATAATCCAGCCTCACTACCTGCAAATTCTTAAGCCAATATTCCATTTATCCCAGAACTAAAGATAGTATATACAACATTCTGATCTAAAAAAAAAAATTATTAGGAAAAACATTTCAAATTTCTGTATTGTCGATCCATTTAACATTTGCTCTGACCCTCTGTCTACTGCTCTCAATCCCTGGAGCTGCTTTTCAATCAAGAATTAATCCTTGATCGCTGGCACACAGGACTCTCAGTGAATGGGTAGTCTGACCTAAAGCCACAAAGTTTTACCCAGAACCATCTCAAAGCCAAGAAAATACAGAATCTGAATCAACCAAGAATCTGGCTTGGTTCAGAGACAGGTGACAGGATAATTCAATAATACACATCAAGTACATGAAAAATATATAATTCAATGCAAATAAATACTTCCTCTTCTCCTTCCCCAAATGAACTTGAACTCACAGTGAGTGATGTGGACAGACAGCAGCCTTCAGAGCCTGCAGCAGACATCTACAGCCACAGCCTGTGCGAGGAAACCTAATCTTGTCCTGAATCTAAAATTATGGTCATGTTCCATTTCTGGATGTCAGTTCTTGTAAGGTGAGGAGAAGGGCTACACCTTCAGATCATCATAAAGAGACAAGGGTTTCTCCCTTTCCACACTCACCACGGGTACATCAAAATTCAACCCCATACCCAAACCAAGTCTGTCTTCTAGAGGGTTCCTGAAGAGCCACATTTGCAAACATTTTTACAAGTCTGACAAGCAAGTGTGAGGATGCTGGCTTTAGCGGAATCAAAGATGAACACTTGCATTAAATCACCATGTAAAAAATAGCCCATACCTATTAGTGATGAAGGTCCCTGGGTCATACCCACTTCAGCCTGCCAGGAAAAGGCCCTGGAATGTTCCTGCTCAGCAAGCACTACTGACAGCTCTGAGCCTGTGCTGAGAACCAACCACAGTCCTCCAGAACAGCCTGTTCCTGTTAGCCAGTTTGACATATTCTCTGGATCTCCTCACAAAGCCTGGCTTGGTCATGCTGATCACATGTATGGTTGCTTTTCTTCAAGAACACAGACTAGACTTCAGTTTCCATAGGGAGGAAGTATCAGAAAATTGACTTCATGTTGTGTTGGCTGAATTGTGGGACCATGTTTTGGTTGCCTTAGGCCTCAAGAGAACTACCGAGACTCAGACCCTATTCAACTAGTGAGAAATACTAGCACAGAGAGAGATCAGCATTTTCTGTGCAGAGGTAAACATCCCAGGAAAAGTTGTAGGGTACCAATGGCAGAGATTCTCTGTCATGGGATGAATCTGTGGCATGTACAATGACCTTCTCCCTGGATTCTATCAAGAAGTTGGAAGGGAGAAACAGATGTGCCTGAGAGCCTGCGAACAAACACAGTTGTCTCTGTGTCCTTTGTATTCCCAAGTTCAACCTGATGTGAACAGCAGTTTCATGATGACTACTAGGAAAACATTCCCTCTTGCC